ACGGAGTTTCACTCATGTTACCCAGGCTGGAGTGCAATGGCGCATCTCGGCTCACCGCAACCTCCACCTCCTGGGTTCAGGCAATTTTCCTGCCTCAGCCTCCTGAGTAGCTGGGATTACAGGCACGCACCACCATGCCCAGCTAATTTTTTTTTGTATTTTTAGTAGAGACGGGGTTTCACCATGTTGACCAGGATGGTCTCGATCTCCTGACCTCGTGATCCACCCGCCTCGGCCTCCCAAAGTGCTGGGATTACAGGCTTGAGCCACCGCGCCCGGCCGTGAAGAGTTTTAAGTTCAAGAAGTTTAGACAAAATGCGCTGGGTGGGGTGGCACATACTTGTAGCAGCAGCTACTCCGGAGGCCGAGGTGGGAGGATCACTTGACACCAGGAGTTTGAGGCTGCAGTGAGCTATAATTGTGCCACTGCACTCCAGCCTGGGTGACAAAATGAGACCCCATCTCTTAACAACAACAGCAAAGTTTAGACAAGATGACATTTTACGTCACTTTTTAAAATTTTTATTTATTTTTTGAGACAGAGTCTCTCTCTGTTGCCCAGGCTGGAGTGCAGTGGCACGATCTCAGCTCACTGCAACCTCCACACCTCCCGGGTTCAAGTGATTCTCCTGCCTCAGCCTCTCGAGTAGCTGGGACTACAGGTGCATGCTACCACGCCCAGCTAATTTTGGTATTTTTAGTAGAGATGAGATTTCACTATGTTGGTCAGGCTGATCTCGAACTCCTGACCTTAAGTGATCCTCTCACCTTGGCCTCCCAAAGTGCTGGGATTACAGACGTGGGCCCCCACGTCCGGCCATTTTAGGTCACTGCCTAATAGTTGTGTAATGGTGTCAAATTGCTTAATGAAGATTTTTGGAAATACCTATGCTGGGGGGAGGGAGGATAATACGTTTTTTTCTAGCTGTCTCCCACAGGGTTATAGCCTGTCCCCCTGGTAAGTGTGAGGAGGGATAACCTGGAAACAGGTCTTCTCAGTCTTTTTTCTTGTAAACCGACGTGTGTTCTATAGTTGATTTCCTACAAGTAAGTAACCTCCACCTTAACCCGCTCTCTAATTTTGGTAAAGGCTATAGAGTGAATAATGCAGACCAGCCTGACCAACATGGTGAAACCCCGTCCCTACTCAAAATACAAAATTAGCCGGGCATGGTGGCGGGTGCCTGTAATCCCAGCTACTCGCGAGGCTGAGGCAGGAGAATCACTTGAACCCAGGAGGCGGAGGTTGCAGTAGGCCGAGATAGCACAATTGCACTCCAGCCTGGGCAACAGGAGCAAAACTCTGTCTCAAAAAGAAAAAAAAAAAAGCAGCCAGAAGGCTGAGGTGGGAGGATTGTTTGAGCCTACGAGTTGGAGATGAGCGTGGGCAGCGTAAGGAGACCTTATCTCCACAAAAAAATCTGAAAAATTAGCCAGGCGTGTTGGCATATGCCTATGGTCCCAGCTACTCAGGAGGCTGTGGCAGGAGGATTGCTTGAGCCTGGGAGGTCGAGGCTGCAGTGAGTCGTGATCACACCCCCTGCACTCCAGCCTGAGCAAAAGAGCAAGACCCTATCTCTTGGGGGGAAAAAAAAAAGAAAAAGCAAGATAGTGTGGCTTTGCCACTGCTGGTTGTACTACCTTGGACAAATTCATCTTTCTCGAACACCATTTCGTTGTTAGATGTAGATTAAGTGATTAATAATTAAAAACATATTAATATGGAATGCACATGGAATGGAATCTGGCATGTTGCATTGTATCCGTGTTATATAACGCTACTAATGAGTTAGCTACTAACTTACTTTTGGCATTGTAATGAAAGACCACCAGGGAAAATTCAGTTATAATTGACGAAAACTGAAATTAACAAATTACAACTTATTTACAACAAATTATTTGATGGATAATGATTCTAGTGTTTTGTTGTTTCTGTTTGTTTGTTTATTTTAGAGACAGGGTCTCACCGTGTTGCCCAGCCTGGCCTCACACTCCTGGGTTGTGGCGATCCTCCTGCGTTGGCTTCCCGAAGTGCTGGGATTACAGGCATGGGCCGCCGTACCCAGCCTTGATAGACTGATATATATTTTTTATTCATTTGTTTATTTTACAGCTTATGAAATATTTTTAATTTGGTGTTCATGATAATTCTTCCAGGTAGGTAATACAGATGACAGATAATGAAAGAATCTTACATTAATTTGTTCTACTATAAGATAGAACTAATAAGGCCGGGCGCGGTGGCTCAAGCCTGTAATCCCAGCACTTTGGGAGGCCAAGGCGGGTGGATCACGAGGTCAAGAGATCGAGACCATCCTGGTCAACATGGTGAAACCCCGTCTCTACTAAAAATACAAAAAATCAGCTGGGCATGGTGGCGCGTGCCTGTCGTCCCAGCTACTCAGGAGGCTGAGGCAGGAGAATTGCCTGAACCCAGGAGGCGGAGGTTGCGGTGAGCCGAGATCGCGCCATTGCACTCCAGCCTGGGTAACAACAGCGAAACTCCGTCTCTAAATGTTAAAAAAAAAAAAAAAGAAGTAAAACCAAATGACAGATTGCACTTTAGGAGTTTATAAAATGTGTAGACATATTCTGCTCAGAAACATAGATGTAAAAACATAAATCAGCAACCACGTGTTAGTAGCAAATACTATTTATTAATTAGTAGTATTAAAATATGGAAGATTGATAATTAGAGTTGCAGGCTTACATTTCTTTTAAATGCTTGAGCTATCTGCTCCATAACATTATATTTTTTTCAAGTAATTAGCTCTTGATAATGAATTACTGGTAGTTAAGATCTAGAAAGCTACTTGTCTCCCAGTTGCTAATAGGATGGTACTGAAGCAGTCTTGTAGTTCTTTGAATTAAGTGCCCTAAAATTGGAAAATAAACACACATTAATTTTATAGGTGCAGGTCAAATACCTGTACGTTCTTCATTCTTTTTTTTTTTTTTAAGACAAGGTCTCGCTCTGTCACCCAGGCTGCAGTGCAGTGGGGCAATCACAGCGCACAGCAACCTCAACCTCCTAGGCTTTTAAGCAATCCTCCTGCCTCTGCCGCCCAAGTAGTTGGGTCTACAGGCATGCACCACCATGCCTGGCTAATTTTTATATTTTTTGTAGAGACAGAGTTTTGCCATGTTGCCTAGGCTGGTCTTAAAATTCTGGGCTCAAGCAATCTGCCTGCCTTGGCCTTCCAAAGTGCTGAGATTACACACGTGAGCCACCATGCCCAGCGTATCTGTCCATTCTTATAAAAACTTTTTTCATTAAAAAATTTAATGCTCTTTGTAACATATTAGCAATCCAAAACCAAAATTTTCTCAACTTAAAATACTTCATTAAAGCCATATATACTTAGAAGATATAATTTAAGAAGGAAAACAACTACAGAATCAACTTTAAAACTACTGTCCAAAGGTTCACGAGTTTTAAAATTAGGGTAAAAGAAGCTAGAACTTGATTTAGGATAATGTTTTGATAACGTACTATAAAAAGAAAGACATGCCAATAAATTCAAAATTACTAAACAGAAGAAAACTTCTGATTTTTCAAAAGAACAATCACTTATTCTTCTCTTTCTCCCTCCAAACATGTATGCGACAGCATCCTAGAACTTTCTCAGGTTTATTCTCTGGATAGAAAACAACACAGAGAAAACCTGAAATACTGTCCCCTTTCCTCCTCACACACAAAGTTCCATCTATCAGAGGGTGGGTGTGGTGAGAAAAATTCCAATTTTACCATCTGTTTATTAGATGAAGTTGGGCAGGGTAGTGATAGGTGGCTTGCCAGCGGTGAAAGGTTAAAAAGATCAAGAAAAGCTCCATATCTTCCTGTTTCGAAGTCCAATACTCTATCAACTAGCTCACAGATGATAATATTCCTGTCGACAACAGTTTAAATTACATACATTTACCCTAACATCTAGGGGAATCCTGGCTCAGTGACACAGATCAGTTTTTGTTAATTCATAAAATGTGAATTTTGCTAAGCCAAAATCAATTACTTATTCCACAAAATTGTCGCCAAAGTGCTACAAAGAGTAGATAAAATAGGCAAAAATCAGTCATTGTCATCATCTATATTAGCATATTATATAATAAAACCCATATAGGTTAAGCCGCCATTCAAAATACATTTCCGGCCAGGCACAGTAGCTCATGCCTGTAATGAGAAATACACCTTTGTAGTGAAGGGCAGTTTTTTGTGCGTGAAATAATAATGTTAGTATTATAATTACTATCCCAAGGGATAAAGATGTACTACCATTTTTGTAAAAGAATGTAAATTTAGTGTCCTTTAGACACAGAATAACTGACTGTTTTTGCTCCAAAGAACTTTTTCAGTTTTGAGAGTGTACAAAGCCTGGATAAAATTTAAGTTTTAAGATACTTTGATAATATACTTTTCCTCAAAGCATTATAGTTATGTTGGCATTTTTAATTAACCAGAATATTTCCTATTTTCACAGGTTATCTCAACGTTAAAGACAGAACTCTCAGGCATCATTAGGATTCCTCACAACTGCTAAGAAACTCCCTTTGAGAAATAGCCAATGTTCACATGTACTGCTAACTGAACTAGTCTCAAATGACTCACACTAAGGCGCTACAGATTTGCTTTAAAAATTATGCACAGAATGGTTTGGTGCAGATAAGTTAGGCTTTTTCAGCTGAGAATTTCCGAAGATGAGAGAGAACTTCTACCAGGGAGGGCAGGTGCCTGCACATGGAAGGAGCTGAGATGTCTAAAGTCACCCAAACTTGTCATTTTAAAAAGCATGTATAAATAAAAGACACTATTTTGAAAAGGGATAAAAGTTGGAAACAGTTCTTTGTTGGCTTATAAGCTAAGTGTGAGATATTCCTACCTTCTGACATTCAAAGTCATTATACTTTCAACTGGTCTGCTCTTTGGTCCATTTGGTGGGTGGAAAATCTTATTGTCTTTGCCAGAGATCTTTTCCAATTTAGTCACATAAGGGTCGGCAGAATGTGATGGGTAAGGATCAAACGTCCCTGCCTTCATTCCACCAGGCTGCAAAGAAATATGAGACAACTTCATGTGATTTTGTAAAATGCCTCTACGAAATTAGCTTGTGAAGAAGCTCACATATATTTTGGTAGCCTGTGGAGTTGGTTTTAAAGGAAATGATACTGTTCAATTCAAATACCACCAAAAGGTCTCCCTATCACCAACTTTATAGGGTCAAAACATCATAATCCAAAAGCTCTCTATAAAAATGACAGTGTTTGTAGTAAGGTAACAGTCTAAACTATTGCCAAGCATTAATATTTTAGCGTTTATCAGACCAGGGTATCACTTAGTTAGCAAGTGAGTCTATTCAGTAAGGGAAAACCTAGGTCAGATGTATTTTGATAGAGAATGGGGAACAAGGAGGATGGCACAACATGAGTTTACTAAATGCAGTCAGTGATGGAGAAGATACTTTAAAAAAAAGCAATAAGCAATAGCATATGGAAATAGAAAGTGAGAGGCAGATGAGATGGACTTTACTGTTCTTGTAGTAGACCAAGAGAAGTCAATCAAAACATGTTTTAACCTATACACAAGACAGAAATATTTGCTTTGACTTCTTAAACTGATTTGACAGAATTTTAAACTTAATATTCTACATAGTCACCAGAAGAATTGTATAGAATCATAACTGATTTAATTAGGCACCCTTTCCTTATAGTATCTATGCCAAATATACATGAAGATTTAATTCATTTGAAAGATACAATTATAAGTTGTCAGGTTTTCCCAACAGAAAACACACGGATTAAAGATCACAATAATAAGAAAACTTAAGAAAGCTTAAATAAATTAAAAGTATAAAAGCAAAATGAATTAAAAATAGAAAAAACACAGATTAAATAAATCCAAGTGATGCTTTAAAAAGTAGATTAATAGCTAAATCTGTAATAGAATCCAGAATGCAAAATAAGTGAGGAAAGTCTATACCTATATTAAATGTCAAAAATATAAAATAATATTTCTGTAAACTTCTATGTGAATAAATTCAAAAACCTGAATAAAATGACTGATTGTCTAAGAAAATATAAATAATCAACATCGACCAAAAAGAGATAGAAAACCTACACAAAACAGACGTCACTATGCAACAATCCTGCATGACCTGCACATGTACCCCAGAATCTAAAGTACAATAAAAAATTATTGTAAAATAAATGTTAATATATCCAAAAATATAAAGAGTAAATTTTATAACAAAATATCAAAGGTCTTTTTCTTTTTGGAACTTTAGAAAATAATTCTGAAGTTCTGAGAATACAGCAGAATAACCAGCATAACTTTTTTTTTTTTTTGAGACAGAGTCTCACTCTGCTGCCCAGGCTAGAGTGCAGTGGCGTGATTATGGCTCACTGCAACCTCTGCCTCCCAGGTTCAAGTGATTTTCCTGCCTCAGCCTTTGGAGTAGCTGGGATTACAGGCACCTGCCACCACGCCCGGCTAATTTTTTATATTTTTAGTAGAGATGGGGTTTCACCATGTTGGGCAGGCTGATCTCGAACTCCTGACCTCATGATCCGCCCACCTCGGACTCCCAAAGTGCTGGGATTACAAGCGTGAGCCACCGTGCCCAGCCAGCATAATTTAAAGAAGAAGAAGAGACTAGACCACTCACTATTCAACATAATAGAAATTAAAAGTTTTTTTGGGGCAGAAATAGTCAAATGAAATGAAAACTCAGAAACATACCTTCAAAAATAAGAATTTGGGGTTTGATAAAAACAGCATTTCAAAGTAATGGTGTTAAAAATGAATTATTCCATCAGTCATATTAGGAACAGCTTGATTTTTAAAAAATCAGTTTTATTAAAGTCTAATTAACCTACAATAAACTATACTCCATTTAAAGTGTACAATGCTATGAGTTTTGACGGATGTCTACACCCTTGAAATGACTATCACAATTCAGATACAGAACATTTCCACCCTTTTCCCAAAGTGTCCTCATACCCCCAAACTAAACAAAAGCTGGATTCTTACCTCACTCTTTACATCAAAATGTATTTTAGATAAATATTTAAACGCAAAAGGATAGGACTAATAGAAGAAATTAAGGAGACACATTATTCTAATATTGGTGGTAAAGAGGGCCATTCTGAAAATGACACAAACCTTACCAACAATGGACTGATAAATCTGACTACATCAACTTATTAAATTCCTGAATAGCACAAAACACCATAACCAAAGATCCAATAGATTTTAAAAATTATTTTAACACAAATAACAAAAGTAGTACCCTTAATATATGAAGACATCTTACAAGACATCTTACAGTATTAAAAACATAAACTTCAAAATACAAAGTCTTCAAGAAAAATGAACAGGCAGTTTACAGAAAAAAAAGTATAGACTAAGGTTTATAAACTGCTGAAGCATTTTAATTTTTATCACTTGTTAACTTCTGTAGTAAGGAGATAGTTAATTTTAATTACCATTTCAAAAACTAAAGGATGGTTTGGCTTTTTATGGTTTTAAGAAAAACTAGACCTAGGGTGTAGAGAAGCACTTCAAAACTTCATTATGAATTCACCAGCATGGTAACTCCAACCTGTAACCCCAGCTACTCTGGAGGCTGATATAGGAAACGCTGGAACTCCAGAGGCGGAGGCTGCAGTGAGCCTAGATCATGCCACTGCACTTCAGCCTGGGTGACAGAGTGAGGCGGAGTCTCACTCAAAAAAGAAGAAAATCAGTATAAATTCAAATACATTTGAAGAGACTAATAATTACCTCATGACAAGAACTTCATTATCCCCTACACTATATTCATACTTGGTGATTTCATGCAATTTTGTAAAAATGGGTGTCATGATTCTCGGTATCAATAAAAACAAAAGTTTATTATATCCATGGGAAAAAATCATTTGGCAGTAAGAGACAGATGCTTAATTTTTTATAATTTCTTTATAATGCCTAATTTTTTCATCCTAAAACTGTTAACTTACCTTTTTACCAGGAGAAGAAGGTTTAAAAGTGTTTGAAATTGCTTCTTTCTTCTCTTCTCTTTTAATTGGTGGTAAAGGTTCCTCAGAAAAATAAGGGTTAGCATCAAAATAGTCCCTTGGGTGAAGATTTAACTTAAACGGTGCTCCTTTAAGTAAACGATGGTGTTCTTCATTCGCTTTCTGTAAATTTGAAATTGCATAGCATAAATTACACAAATTGAAACTAACCGAGAATTAAATCTTTTACATTTTAATATAAACATGATTCTTAAATACATATGGCTAGGTGCACTTTTTAAAAACATTAATTTGCTAAGTTCTATTTTTATGATACAAAAGACATGTCTACTTACAGACAAGCAGAACTATGATTATTCATTTTGGATACAAATTTATGTGTAGTACTGAGACCTTATCGCCTGAACAAATCTATATGAACTACCTGGGCAGTATGATGCAGATAAAAAGACTTGTCTAGTTCAAGCCCTTCCTGCTTCATAGCATTTCACAGAGACTCTGGGAAAGTTATCTTTTAGTGTCATATCATCTTCAACTGTAAATGAGGATATTATTATTCCCCCTTAATGTAAATGAGGACATTATTCCCCCCTTAATGCAAATGAGGACATTATTCCCCTATTAATGTAAATGAGGACATTATTATTCCCCCATTAATGTAAATGAGGATATTATTATTCCCCCTTAATGTAAATGAGGACATTATTATTCCCCCTTAATATAATATATGAGATTATATGATTTTATATGTGTATATATAACATTTTTATAATTTCTAAAAATATTTTATATGTATATATGAGATTATACATATATCATATATATGTATATATGTATACATGTGTACATATGTATACATAGCTATATATGTATATACATATAAATATGCATATATATGTATATTTATACATATTTATATATGTATAGATATATATGTATATAACATTTTCATAATATTTTTTGCTATCTAGTATTCAAAGCAAAACAGTAGCCACTTTTTTCCTATGTTGTAATCATTTCTATCAGAAATACTAAGTATAAAGATCACTGTCTATTAATAAAGTAGCAAAAAATCACATTATGAAATACAGATTCAAAAAGACAACCATACAGTGAATATTGATACATTTTCACTCTTTGCAAATATAAAATCTGGTAAATAATCCAACAAACTGCACTGAAAACACTTGATCAATGAAATCTACAACAGATAGTTATTTGGGAGAAGACTAACTCTTGCTACTAGGAACCCCACTGTGGCACTTTCGAATCCTTCCCTGTTTTTGGATTTTTCTCTTGCCCTTGCTTATCCTCTTTCCTGGTAGGACATTCATCCATTCTTGGTGATCTGCTCTCCACCCTTCCATATCACAACAGTGGTACTCAAAATTTATTCTATTGATCTTTTGGGGCAGTGTTCCACAAAATTTAAGTGTCATGGGAATCATTTGATAAGTTATTCAAATTACAAATCACCAAGCCCTTCCCTCAAAGATTTCTGATGGCATTGGTCTGCTGTATGGCCCATTCATCGGCAGTTTTAACAGTCACCCTCAGTGATTCTCATGCATGTGATTATAATGTACTGTTTTAGGATCACTTTTTGCTAGAGCGTGGTCACCTTTTACCAGAAGAATACTGTATTTGTTTTACCAAGCCCTGCCCTGGAATGTTCAGTTGAGTACTGATCAGCAGATCTGTGAGAAGCTATTCAAAGTCAAAAAGAACCACCTGAAAGAATGTGAGGCAACGGTGTCTGGCTCTCACACAGAACTGGGAATTGTGCTGGTTGCCATCAGCTGTGCAAG